AAGATGATGATGATGAAGAAGAAGAGATTGGATTTATACCCCGCCCTTCATGACCCAAAGGGGTCTCAGAGCGGCTTACAAACTCCTTTCCCTCTCCCTCCCCACAACAGACACCCTGTGAGGTTGGTGGGGCTGAGAGCGCTCTCTTGAGGACAGAAGAAAAAGAAGAAGAAGAAGAAGAAAGAAGAAGAAGAAGAGATTGAAGAAGAAGAGATACCCCGCCCTTCATGGCCCAAAGGAGTCTCAGAGCAGCTTACAGTCTCCTTTTCCTTCCCCTCCCCACCACAGACACCCGGTGAGGCAGGTGGGGCTGAGAGAGCTGTTTTGAGGAAAGAAGAAGAAGAAGAAGAAGAAGAAGAAGAAGAAGAAGAAGAAGAAGAAGAGATTGAATTTATACCCCGCCCCTCACGGCCCAAAGAAGTCTCAGAGTGGCTTACAAACTCCTTTCCCTTCCCCTCCCCACCACAGACATCCTGTGAGGTCAGTGGGGCTGAGAGAGCTCTGACACAAACTGCTCTTTTTCAAGGACAGCTCTGACAGGACTATGGCTCGCCCAAGGTCATCCAGCAAGTACACACCAAAGTCTGACATTGTACGGAAGTGATGATTGTGTCCTCGTGTTTGCTTTAAACAGGATCGGTGGACCCTGCCGAGATTTTGCTATTTCTGTAAGGAGAAGGCACATATATTTTAGAAAGTCCATTTAAAAAAGACAACTCCGTGTGGCTACATAAAAATAACCTACTTTTATCTTTATGGCAGAGTTAAAAAAATTAAGAAAATTCAAAAAGGAAATACGTCTTTCCACAGAACGTGATTAAAATGTGGAATCTGCTGCCAGAGGATGTAGTGACGGCCACAGGCACTGAAGGCTTTAAAAGGGGGATTAGACAGATTCATGGGGGGCAGGTCCATCAGTGGCTACTAGCCATATTGAATAAACGGAAACTCTTTGTCCAGAGGCAGTCCAGCCTCTGAATCCCAGAGCCAGGAGACTACATGAGGGGAATGCCTTGGCCTCTTTGCCCTGTTGTTGGCCCTCCAGAGGAACTGGCTGGCCCCTGTGTGAGACGGGATGCTGGACTAGATGGACCAATGCTCTGATCCAGCAGGGCTCTCCTGAGGTTCTTATGAAGACCTCTCTGCCCTGTCGTTGGCCCTCCAGAAGAACTGATTGGTCATCATGTAAGACAGGATGCTGGACTAGATGGACCCCTGGTCTGATCCAGCAGGGCTCTTCTTTAGTGTTCCCTCTAAGCTGAGTTAGCGTGAGCTAGCTCACAGTTTTTTAGCCTCTAGCTCACACATTTCTGTCTTAGCTCAGGAAGGAGGGCTCCAGAGCAAACTAATTTATGCAGCAGCCAAATTGCTCGCTCACAACTTTAATGCCAGTAGCTCACAAAGTAGAATTTTTGCTCACAAGACTCCACAGCTTAGAGGGAACATTGCATCTTCTTATGTTCTAATGAAGGCCTCTCTGCCCTGTGGTTGGCCCTCCAGGGGTTGATCAGTGTGTGAGACAGGATGCTGGACTAGATTGACCACTGGTCTGATCCAGCAGGGCTCTTCTGATGTTCAAATGAAGGCCTCTCTGCCCTGTCGCTGGCCCTCCAGAGGAACTGATTGGTCATCGTGTAAGATTGGATGTTGGACTAGATGGACCACTGGTCTGATCCAGCAGGGCTCTTCTGATGTTCTAATGAAGGCCTCTCTGCCCTGTCGCTGGCCCTCCAGAGGAACTGATTGGTCATCGTGTAAGATTGGATGTTGGACTAGATGGACCACTGGTCTGATCCAGCAGGGCTCTTCTGATGTCCTCACGAAGGCCTCGGCCTCTCTGCCGTGTCGTTGGCCCTCCGGAGGAACTGGTTGGCCACTTCGAGAGACAGGACGCTGCAACAGGTGGAACCACTGGTCTGATCGAGCAGGGCTCTTCGGATGTTCATATCCGGGGAAGGCCTCAGCCTCTCTGCCCTGTCGTTGGCCACTGTGTGAAACGGTGCTGGACTGGATGGAGCACCGGTCTGATCCAGCAGGGCTCTTCTGACGTTCTTAAGAGCTTTTCGTTCTCTTTTTGCCCGACCTGGGAGGAAATGGGGAAGAGATGACAAACCCGGGAGTTGACTTGTGGGTTTCCCCCGACAAGACAAACAGCGCCCCTCCCTGAACCGTTTCAGGCAGAGAAAATGGCAAGGGGGAAGCCCCCTCCACAGATAACAATCTGAATTGCCACATGCCCAGTAACTGAGGTGAAGTCACCAATCACGGCTTACTGCTGTACAGAACAGTCAGGGGGGAATCCCAGAACAACCTGTGCACAGGTTAACAGGGTTGTGTAATGAATTGTTGTACAGGTTACACGGGGCGCCAACCTCCTGGTGGGGCCTGGAGTTCCCCTGGATTTTTAATTTATTTTACGCTCTCTCCCGCCTTTCTCCCCACCAGAGACCCCAAGTGGCTTACATTATACTCTCCTGGGCTACAGTTTTATACGCCGTCTTCTGAAGCTCAGTTGTATGTATGTGCACCAGTTTTATGTGTGTAGGACCAGCGAGCTACCCAGAAAAGTTAGTGATCCTGAGGTTTCATCACATGAGATCTGTAGGAACATGTCTTCTGTTGAGTCAGACTACTGGCATACCTAGCCCTCTACTGGCTATGCTGCAGCCTGCTGAGAGCCAGTTTGGTGTGGTGGTTAGGAGCGCGGACTCTAATCTGGTAGAAACGGGTTTGATTCCCCCACTCCTCCACATGCAGCTGCTGGTGTGGCCTTGCGTCAGTCACAAGTTCTCTCAGAGCTGTTCTCTCACGAGCAGTCCTCGAGAGAGCTCTCTCAGCTCCACCTACCTCACAGGGTGTCTGTTGTGGGGAGGGGAGGGGAAAAGGAGATTGTAAGCCACTCTGAGACTCCTTTGGGTAGTGAAGGGTGGGGTATAAATCCAGTCTCCTCCTCTTCTTCCTTAAACTCTGCCCTCCCTCAACACTGCCCCCAAGTCTCCAGGCGTTTCCCAATCCGGAGCTGGCAACCCATGAACAGACGAAGCTGCCGTCTACTGAATCACACCCCTGGTCCATCAAAGTCAGTCGTCTACTGAGACAGGCAGTGGCTCTCTGGGGTCTCAGGCGGAGTTCTTTCACATCACTTACTGCCTGGTTGTTTTAACTGGAGATGCCGGGGATTGAACCTGGGACCTTCTGCATGCCAGGCAGACGCTCTGCCTCTAAGCCACATCTCTCCCCCCCCCTCCCCAAAGGTTATACCAGGGCACAGTACAGATCCCAGCACACTGTAGATTCATGGTTATGTATGCTTCTCTCCGGCACAGCTGGCCAATTGAAAGGGGAGGGGAAAAAGAGAAACAGAATCTTGAGGTTCCACTGAAAACCACAGGAAGTCAAAAACACTCTTTGGAAATCTTTTCCCCCCCCCCCCCACAGGGCATGGATATGCTGCCAAACTCTGTTCCAGTAACACACACATGCGCGCAAACATACGCTTCGGGGAGGCTTTGAGAAGTAGAAAAGAACAATACTTTATTGACAAGTTAGAAGGGGACCCATCCCCCCCCACAACCCAATCGCCACGTCCCCCCCCCTTCTGTAGCATGGGAGGAATGGAACGTTCAAGGGGTCCATGGGGTCGCGAAGAGTCAGTCTCAACCGTGTGACTGAACAACAACAACAATGTTCAAGTATTGATAAGATGGCTGTAAAAATAACATCTGGGGGAAAGTGGGGAGGAGGGGGCAGATACGTCAGCCCCCCCCCACAATCCCTCTCCTCTTTGGGAGCAGAAAGGTTAATATCAGCAGGGGTAATTTCCTGCCGGAGCAGAGCTCCGGCAGCAAAGAGCCCAGGGGGCGGGCACATGCAACAAGCCCCACCCCTTGCTCCCAGCAGCCCTCAATCAGAGCAAGAAGCAGCCAGGTAAGCTGCAGAGCCCCCCCCCAGTTCCATGGTTCAAAACAGTCCAGTGGCGCCTTTAAGACCAAGTTTTATTCAGGTACAAGCTCTCCCTCCTCTGCAAGGACAGATCTGCATGTTTCCACCCCCTCCCCCCCAATAGCTAGCAATCCGAAACAGTCCAGTGGAGCCTGAGCGGGGGGGTGCTGCCTTCTGACACACTTCCGGTGATGTCAGGGGGTGTGGCGTATGCAAATAAGTTATGCTAATGAGTTATGCTAAAGAGCTCCTGCACCTCTTTTCCTACAGAATGGCCCCTGAATATCAGTGCTAATGATTTGTGAGGGGGGGGGGGAGAAAAGGAATACCCACAATCAATGTTCCCTCTAAGCTGTAGAGTCTTGTGAGCAAAAATTCTACTTTGTGAGCTACTAGCATTAAAGTTGTGAGCGAGCAATTTGGCTGCTGCATCAATTAGTTTGCTCTGGAGCCCTCCTTCCTGAGCTGAGACAAAAATGTGTGCGCCGGGGGCTAAAAAACTGTGAGCTAGCTCACACTAACTCAGCTTAGAGGGAACACTGCCCACAATCCTTTTGCTTAATGTCGGGTCTGGAGGGAGCTAAGTTAACAGCTCCCATCCTGGAATGGGGGGGGGAGGAAGGAGGAATGTATTAAGGTGCACCCCGCCCCGCCCCCCCCAGACCCAAGTTGTTTGCAAGGGCAGATGGGCCACAACCATCCCCTTCTTCTCCCCCCACCGTCTCATTTCACTGACTAATAACTTCCAGCCGTAGAACTTCCTCTTAACGAACTCTCGTCTGGGAATTTCTGAAATTTCAGGCCTCGAAAATGTACCCAGGGCTTCTCTGTCGCTTCTCAAGTTTTCAGAGAGAAAAAATCCCCGGTCTTCTCCCCCTCCGCCCCGCCCCGCCCCACACGGCTCTTTGACTGTAGTTCTTGAAACGGATTGTTTGGTAACTGGTAGGAAATCCTGAACCGTTATCGGTGGGTGCAGGGCCTGAACCTACAGCGGCAGGATCGTAACCCCCAAATACTTTCTCCAAAGTGCTAACAGATGCCTTTTAAAGTGCGGGGGGGGGGGCAGGTTTCTGGAGGCAGCAACGACTATTAGGCACAATGTTGAAATGGAACCTCCATGTGTAGAGGCAGTATACCCCTGAATAACAGCGCCTGGGAGTTCAGGCAGGGAGGGTTATAGCTTCCTACCTGGCTTGGACCCCTCTGCGGGGGCGGGGAGCTGGCTAGCGGCTGAAGGAAACAAGCCTGTATGAGTTCGATTTTTGCTCTGATGCACCGAGGCTGCTAGCAATATGCTCTGAAATGTGCTACTTGCCAATGGCTGTGCAATTAAACCCCCTTCCACCAGGGGGAGACACACAACAGCCGGGCTGTTGCCCTGGGAACCCCTGCTAGCGCCGCCATCTTTGCGTGGCTCTTTCAAGGGGGAGGGGAAAGAGAGAGCGGACTCCAATTCCACCACCGCTCGGCCCCTCCGGACTCGCAGGACATCTATCCCCAAAGAGGGAAGATAGAAGATGAACCACCGGATCCACGGTTTGGGCTAATGGACCGAAGAGCCATTGGTTCGTGAGGCCAGAGGAGAATCGCGCATTGCTACAAAAAAAAAAACAAAAATGGAAGAAGAGAGGAAGGCCTTTGGTCAAGTGGGTTTTGGAATCCCAAAGCAGCAAATATGTGCCAGTTTTGCACGAGGAAACGGTAGCAGCAGAGGTGAAAATCCCTGGCACGGCCTCTTGTCCGGCTGCTTCATGACGCACGCGGCCCCTGGCGAAGTCCCCCACAGATTCGAAGCGGACGGGAGTCCCTTCGTCGCTTGTCGTCAGCTCCCTCCTGGCCCGCTGTCCCTGCCGTGGATCCGTTGTCCTTTGGGATCAGCGTCTGGGGGGTTCTCCGCACCCAGGAGCGTCAGCGACTGATCCAACCCCATGCCCCTTGGGTGAATCTGATTCACGTGGGATCCTCGCGGCAGCGATACGGCAGAGGGATTCAGGCTGACGGGAAGCAGCTGGACGGGATGGTTATGGTGGGAAGGCGGGAAAGGATAGAGGGCGCCATGGTACGCGGGATCCATCATGGGCTCCAGCAGGGGCAGGAAGAAACTTGGGGTGCTCACAAAGCCCGCCGGCTGCTCTGCCGCGGGTGGGGTCGGGCTTCTCTCCAGCTTCACTCCGCGTAAGGGGCTGGCTGCCGAGGTCCCGTTTGGGGACGTCATACTGTCTGCCTTCTGTTGGGGCACTGTGGGGGACTGCACTGCCCTCGGGGGCTTCGGGGTCCGGGCGGGGCTCGGGGTGGTCGGGCAGGAATCCGGCGAGGCCCGCAGCAAGCCTGGAGGGGAAACGGAAGCAGGATGTCAAACGACCAGAGCCCTTCGGGAAGACCGAGAATCAAAACAGATTTATCTGCGCAATGTAACTAGACCCTCGTTCGGCCAAAACCTCGATATTCTCGGACGCGGAAAGAAGCATGAGATACATTGGCTATCGGTCGAAACATATTAAAAACAGCTCCTCTGGTTTTCCCATTCACGATGGAATGGAGAAAGCCCCCCCTCCCCACGCAAGTAAGCCTCTCCTTGCCTCGGAGCGCCGCCGATTAAAATTTGCCCTCCGCGTTAAAAATGGCTCCCAGCGTTGACGGTTTATGAATCTGCCAATCAAAGGCTCCTGAAAGCAACACTTTCTCAACGCGTTTACCTGGAATCTGGGCGTGGGATCTGTTACTACACACACAAGATCACACACCCCTTTTAATCCCCTGACTGAGCCAGCTGCTGGGTGCGAGGAATGCCCATCAATATGCTTATTGGCATGGTAACTCACTGGGGTAGGCGGGCCGGATGCCGGGGGAGCTGGCGGTGCTGGTTGCCGGGGATGAGCCCTCGCGGACGTGGTCGGGCCGGGAGGCCTTTCCTCTCAGGATGTCGGTCACCTGGGGAGCAGGGGGACAGGTGAAGCTTTCCGATTGTCTCTTCCCATAATCCCTCCCTAAAGCCCAGCCTGCTCCAAAGGGGTGATCCGCCCTCACTCGAACCCAGTCCTCCTCTACCCCCCCATCAGAAAATTTTAAAAAATGCAAAAGAAACCCACGCAGATCCGTCCCTTGTCCTCAGACATGGGTTCCCAACCGTTTTGAGACTTCAGGGCAGCGATTTTCACAGTGTGGTGGGCGCTGCCACAAAATGGCCGCCACAGGAGGCGGATCCAGCCACACAGTGTAAATCCTTGTGCTGTGGTGGCAGCTACTGACAAAGCGGCATTTTTAAAATCCGTACGGCCCATCAACTCTCCAGTGGCCAATCAGAAATCTTGCTGGGCAAAAGCCCCCCTGGCCCCTCCCACTTTCAAAAAACATCTGTGGCATGACCCCCGAGCGGCTAGATCTCCCCTCCTTTGGTGTAGCCCCGCAAAATTTCCCAGACCGCACCTCTCTAAGGGCATCAGCCGCACGGTGCTCATTTTATCACAACCGAGGGCACTGTCGTCAAGACTGTCTTAGGGGACCGATCCCGCTCAGTGGCTTTGCCCTACTCCCTCGGGGCCTCCCGGCCGGAGCTTATTTCCCCCTCCCTGGCCGTGCCCCACCTCCAGTCCAGGGAGACTCCCAGCTGAGAACCCAGGCAGCCGCATATGTCAACCTGACCTTTTCTCCGCTTCCATTTTTGGCACCGGGGGGATTGTAAAGTTAGAGAAGACGCCCAGAGAAACCACAGAGAAACGCCTTGGCCAGCTGCCCGGAAGCCAGGCGACGGGACACAGATCTGATGGGTAAAGTTAGTTTACCAGTTCCCCATCTACGGCCCGAGCATATGGGGTGGGGACAGGAACGTATTTCAAGGGGGTTGAAGTCCAAGGAAGGCTCAGCCACGGCGGCCAGCCCATAACAAGTTTATCTTATGACACTAAGTCAGGGGTGTCGAACTCATTTGTTACGAGGGCCGGATCTGACATAAATGAGACCTTGTCGGGCCGGGCCGTGTGTGTCATAAAATGTAATGCCAGGCAGCGGAGATATAAACTTTATAAAGGACACAAAGACAGATGGTTTTTTTTAAATTTAAAATAAAAACATGCTTAAAACATCAGCTCTGTAAGCTGCAAACCTACATCTCATTTATTGACATCCCCCACAGAAATCCCCCGGGCCTCATGTTTGACACCCCTGCTATAAGTCCTTAAATAGACCTCTCTCTTTCATGACTCTTGGAGGCTGTATGCATAGTCTGGGAGGGCTACATGTGTGGAACAAGGTGACATGTAGGGATACCACTTGGAGGTCCCCCGGAACGGCAGCTCATCTCCAGACTACAAACATCACTTCCCCTGGAGAAAAATGGATGCTTCGGAGGGTGGACTCTGTGGCACTGTGCCCCACCAGGCTCCACCCCCAAATCTCCAGGAGTTTCCCAGTCTGGACCTTGGAGCCCTGCCCTCCCACCCCCTGCCACTGGCCAGGGGGGTTCCGGCAACCCTAGTGACATGTTATATATTTGTAGAGTGTCCAAGAGCCACTTTGGTGTCGTGGTTAAGTGCGCGGACTCTAATCTGGGAGAACCGGGTTTGATTCCCCACTCCTCCACTTGCACCTGCTGGATGACCTTGGGCAAGCCATAGTTCTGTCAGAGCTGTTCTTGAAAAAAGAGCCGTTTCTGTCAAGAGCTCTCTCAGCCCCACCTCCCTCACAGGGTGCCTGTTGTGGGGAGGGGGAGGGAAAGGAGTTTGTAAGCCGCTCTGAGAGTCCGAGCGAAGGGTGGAGTATAAATCCAATCTCCTCTTCCTCATCTTCCTCCCGCCCCCTCCACCAGTTTGATGTAGCAGTTAAGTGTGTGGACTCTAATCCGGAAGAACCGGGTTTGATTCCCCACTCCTCCACTTGCACCTGCTGGATGACCTTGGGCAAGCCATAGTTCTGTCAGAGCTGTTCTTGAAAAAAGAGCCGTTTCTGTCAAGAGCTCTCTCAGCCCCACCTCCCTCACAGGGTGCCTGTTGTGGGGAGGGGGAGGGAAAGGAGTTTGTAAGCCGCTCTGAGACTCCCTTGGGTAGTGAAGGGCAGGGTATAAATCCAATCTCTTCTCTTCTTCTTCTTCAAGAAAAATGCCTGCCACACACCCGTTCCATGGGTTCACTGTGACTTTTGGGTACCCGCAGCCCAATCTGAATGGGAGAGGCTGAGTCAAAAGCACCCTGTTGTTGGTCTTTGGTCTAACCCATCTCACCAAAATGGGGCTGCTAGGTAAGCAAAACAGTCAAGCGTCCAAGCCTTACACATAAGACCTGGCGTAACTGGGAAGTCAGGACTTGAAGTGTCACTGCGGTGTGAAGAAGAAGAAGGAGAAGAAGAAGAAGGAGATTGGGTTTATACCCCACACATCTCTACCCAAAGGAGACTCAGAGCAGTTTACAATCTCTTTTCCCTTCCCCTCCCCACAACAGACACCCCGTGAGGTAGGCGGGGCTGAGAGAGCTCTTTCGAGAACTGCCCTTAAGAGAACAGCTCTGAGAGAACTTGTGACTGACCCAAGGTCACACCAGCAGCTGCACGTGGAGGAGCGGGGAAAACCCCGGTTCTCCCTGATTAGAGTCCACACTCCTAACCGCTACACCAAACTGGCTCTCACTGCCTTAAGGAATAAGAGGCCCGCTTCTCATATAAGGAGGCTGATGTAATAAGACTGATAGAGTGAAGAAGAGGAGATTGGATTTATACCCCGCCCTTCTCTACCCAAAGGAGTCTCAGAGGGGCTCACAATCTCCTTTCCCGAGAGAGCTCTCTTGAGGACTGCTCGTGAGAGAACAGCTCTGAGAGAACTGTGACTGACCGAATGTCAACCAGCTGGCTGCATGTGGAGAAGTGGGGAATCGAACCCAGTTTTCCAGATTAGAGTCCGCTGCTCGTAACCTTTACACCAGAATGGCAATGAAAAATAAAACAATGAAATAACGGGATGAACATATGGCCGAGTTGGGACTTGCGGAGCGGTTAGAGCGGTGGATCAGGATGGAGGAGACCCGGATTCAGATGCCGACTTGGCCATATATCGAACGAACGAAATAACAGAACAAAAGTGACAAATAAAACAGATCCCTTCTTAAACCCAGTTCCTGCAGAGGATATTCCCCCCTTCTCCCTGAGGAACATTTTGTATTTGCTGCTGGTATGAGGTTTTCTGACTCTTGCGAGGTGTGCGAAGGAGCCCATTTTGGGCTGAGAAGCAGTCCGGAGAGCCACAAACAAATACGGGGCGGGATGTAACAGGAAGCTCTCTTGCCCAATTACTGGGAGCTGCGCAAGAGTATGATCATTCCTACGAGTTACGGTTAACGTCGAGGAAACAGGGAGACCTGTCCAATCTAAAAGGAGAGTCCTGTGATTTTGAAGCCTCGGTTTTCTCTTCCTTTCCTCGAAGAACAGAGCAAGCCTTCCTGGCATTCCTTACAGACATTCCTTTCAGATTGTTTTTGTAGAGGCCAATGAGGAACAAGCATTTCAGTTCCTTCAGCCTCCATCTATCCAAGTTTCAGGGATCCGTGAATGCAAAATTCCAGCATCACTTCCTGAAAGTCAGGTTCCTGGATTTACGGCAGTCACGCCCAACCCTTTGGAGTCTGCAGGCCCCTTTGGAATTCCGACACGGTGTGGCAGGCCACAGCCACAAAATGGCCGCCACAAAATGGCGGCTGCAAGAGGCAGAACCAGTTTGGTGTAGTGGTTAGGAGAGCGGACTCTAATCTGGGAGGACCAGGTTTGATTCCACCACTCCTCCACATACAGCCAGCCGGGTGACCTTGGGTCAGTCACAAGTTATCTCAGAGCTGTTCTCTCAGGAGCCTCTCTCAGCCCCACCTACCTCACAGGGTGTCTGTAGTGGGGAGAGGAAGGGAAAGGAGATTGTAAGTCACTCTGAGACTCCTTCAGGTACTGAAGGGCTCTGAGACTCCTTCGGGTAGTGGAACAGTCGCAAGTTCCCTCGTAGCTGTTCTCTCAAGGGCAGTTCTTGAGAGAGCTCTCTCAGCCCCACCTACCTCACAGGGTGTCTGTGGTGGGGAGGAGAAGGGAAAGGAGATCGGAAGCCGCTCTGAGACTCCGAGTGAAGGGCGGGACATAAATCCAATCTCTTCCTCCTCCTCCTCCTCTACATCCACTTACTATTCTTGTTATTTATTTACTAACTCACCAAGTGAAGGGTGGGGCATAAATCCAATCTATTCTTCTTCTTCTATAGAACACGTCACAAGTTTATGTCATGAACTGGATGGACAACCCGCTACCTACAGCCCTGGCACGATTCAGCAACTTGCTGTCCCATCACAGAGGTAGGCCGTAGCTTCTAAAAAGCGGCATCTTCCACACAGGCATTGTGGAGGGGTTCCAGTGGTGGGTCAGGGTTGAGAAGACCCGGGTTCAAATCCTGACTTGAACATGCACTTCACTGGGTGACCTTCTTAATTTTCAAGTGGTTTCCCCCCATATTTTTGCAGTTAGCGCCTTTCAGCATATGGAAAAGCCGATTTTTTAAAAAAACCAAGTTCATGCACTGTTGGCCAGTGGCGCTCAAAACGGAACACACCGCTGTGTGGAGATCTGACACAGGTGGAAGCATCTTCCCAAAGAGGTCAGGAAAATGCACACTTTTGGGTTGTTTTTTCCATATGTGCATGTGCGTGCATGTGTGTGTGCGCATGGAAGCCATGGTGACCTCTGGTGACTGACCCCTACTGGGGGCCTGGAGGATATTCAGGGAGATGGCTGAAGAAAGCCTGCCCCCGCCCTCCCGCCTCTGGTATTCCAAGGAGGTCTCCCATCCAGGTACTTGCTGGAGTCGACCCTGCTTAGCTTCTAAGATCTGATGAGATCGGGTTTGCCTGGGCTGTCCAGGGCAGGGCAGGAAAACACACATCTTTATTTGGGTTTCCTTGTCTAGTGGGCATTTGGATTCCTTTAGCACCAGAGCGCGAAAATTTGTTAGTCGCTGCTCTTAATTTTAAAGTGGTTTCCCCCCATATTTTTGCAGTTAGTGCCTTCGAGCATACGGAAAAGCAGATTTTTTTTAAAAGACCCAAGTTCATGCACTGTGGGCCGGTGGCACTCAAAACGGAACACACCGTTGTGTGGAGATCTGACACAGCCCCTTCCCACGCGGCAACCCCCTCGGCACCACGACCGCCCCACGCTCTTACCCGCTTGTTCTTGGCCACCATCAGCGGGGTGTCGTTGTGATAGTTCTTGAGACTGCCGTCTGCCCCGTTGCGCACCAGAAGCCGCAGCGCGTCCAGGAATCCCCGCCCGCTGGCCGCGTGGAGAGCCGTGTTCCCCCCGTACGACTGGGCGTTCACATTGGCCCCGTGCTGTGGAGTGGAGAACACAAACCCACGCTTATGAACACAGATCGTCTTACTCCTAAGGATCGCGGTATAAATTGAACACAGATCGTCTCATTCTTAAGGACCACGGTATAAATTCTGCTGATGTGACCTTGGGTCAGCCACAAGCTCTGGCACAGCTGTTCCTGAAAGAGCAGTTTGTGTCAGAGCTCTCTCAGCCCCACCCACCTCACAGGGTGTCTGTTGTGGGGAGGGGAAGGGAAAGGAGTTTGTAAGCCGCTCTGAGACTCCAAGTGAAGGGCGGGGTATAAATCCAATCTCTTCTCTTCTTCTTCTTTGTTATTTAGTGCAAATGCAGGATTTGGGCCGCTGGTGCTGAATGCCGCAAATCCAGCTTTTTATTTTGCAGAGGAAAGCTTCTGGCCCTCAAGATTCTGGAAGCTTTCTTGAAAACGGGCAAGCGATAACGTGTGTCACAAGATGGGGGTGGCGTCCGGCAATGTTCCCCCTAATTTCCCCCCTTATTGAGTGCAGCAGTTCATGTCCTGGGCAGAACAGAACTGCTGTAACCTTAAAATGGTTATACAACCAAACAAACACTGTGATGTGATGGCCAGGGGTCATTTCCTGCAGGAGCGTACAGGAGCGGAGCTCCGGCAGTAAAGAGGCCAGGGGGCGGGCACAGACAACAAGCCCCACCCCCTGATCCCAGCAGCCCTCAGTCAGAGCAAGAAGCAGCCAGGTACCCCCCCCCCCAGCTCCCCGGTCTAAAACAATCCAGTGGCACCTTTAAGACCAAGTTTTATTCAGGTACAAGCTCTCCCTCCTCTGTGAGGGACAGATACATCCCGCCCCCCCCCCCCAACAGATAGCAATCCAAAACAGTCCAGTGGAGACTTCTGACACACTTCCGGTGATGTAAGGGGGTGTGGCATATGCTAATGAGTTATGCTAATGAGCTCCTGCACCTCTTTTTCTACGAAATGACCCCTGGTGATGGCTAAGACATTTAGTAAATCTTTGCATGTTAAACAGCTTCGAGGGAACCCTGGTGTCCAGTGTAGGGCAGACAGGTTTCCACAATGAGGGGTTTTCTTCTTTAAAAATATTGTTTTTTCTTTAAAAGATAGGGGGTACCATAAAGAAAATAAGGAGAGAGAGGTAATGATACCTAATTGATACATTACAAGGATGCTCAAAAGCCGTGATAAGCATATAACCTTTAAAATGCAGATTTCAAATTTAAAATGTTCAGGAACACTTTTCTCTCTCTCTTACAATTTCATCAATCAAGAGTTCAGGAATAAAAAAAAGGATTAAAAGGACTAATCTACATGAGCATTCAACGCATATAGTCATTTAGCTTAAAAGAGAATTTGGGGTTTTCTTGACAGAGGGCAACAACCCCCCAGCGAAGACCTAGCAAACTGTTCGAGTCGGAAGCAGACGAGAAGAGCCACCTTTACCTGCAGCAGGAGTTCCACCATCTCCAAATTATTATTCTCCACGGCATGCAGAAGTGGGGACCGTCCGCTCTTGATATCCTGAAACGAGAAGATGCCGTTGAGGTTTGGTCTCTCTCCCTTTCAAAACGCACCGACCTCTCTCTCCCTTTCAAAATATCGTGATAAACTCTCTCAGACGAGGCCCTGGTCCAGAGAGCCCTAGCTCCGAAATTAGGTTCCCCAATGAAGGGGCAACTTCTATATGGCCGGGGGCCTGCCTACCTGAGGGACCGCCTTTCCCCACACGTCCCCCAGAGAGCACTGAGGTCGGGGACTCAAAATCGCCTGTCCCTGGCCCCGAGGATGCCAAACTGGCTATCACCAAAGCCGGGGCCTTCTCAGTGGCGGCTCCATACAGGTGGAACGAGGTCCCGGAGGACATCAGGGCCCTGCGGGACCTTCTACAGTTCCGCAGGGCCTGTAAAACCGAACTCTTCCACCAGACTTTCGATTAGGAGCCGCCATGGAACGAGCTACTGAACATCTATTACTAGTACTTCATTTGGGATACTGATCTAGTCATACGGGGCCAACTACAACTGTAGTGTATTCCAAAGCTGCCATGGAATGCAGAATGTATGTGAAACATCTAATTGAAAAGCAATGTTAAGCTTCATCCTGGGCTAGGATCCAAATACATCCAATCGTATCGCTAGCCCAGGAAGTAACAAGCCAATCACCTTACAGCAAGCTCCCTGAGCGGGAACATCCATGATTGGTCCTTATGTGAACAACCTCATTGGTTGGTATTTGTACAGTGGGTGTGGCTACATTAGCCGGGAATGTTTAAAAGCAGGACAGCTGCAATGTAAAGGCTGTTCTGGCTATCAGATGTTGATCCGTGTTGGAGTTGGGTTCGAGTTGAAGAATAAAGTTGTGTTCTTGCTGAATCACTCTCCGACTGCTTTGTTAAGTGAGCGACTTAACAACAACGATCGCCACCGGCCCTTTATCGTCTGCATTTAATCTGCACTTTATATTTTATTGTTAGAATTTTATCTGTTTTTACTGTAAATTATTATCGTATGCCACCTTGAGCCTGCTTGTCCAGCAAGGCGGGATAGAAATCGAATCAAATCAATCAATAAATAAACTCCTGCTCTTATTATTGTACGCCGCCTTGAGCCTGCTTATCAGGCAAGGTGGGACAGAAATCGAATCAAATCAATCAATCAATAAACTCCTGCTTCTAGAGGGGAGGAAGATACTGGCTTGGGGTATCTCTAGACCCGTCCATCTCTACATCTCAGGCAAGTTCACCGGCATAGCCTGCTTGTCCACAGCAAAGCGCTTGGACCCTCACACCTGCGAGACCGTCTCTCCCATCACGTCAGCTTCCCTTCTTTCTGCAGGTGCCAACCTGAGAAGGGGCAAAATCGACAACTGCCCAGCCGTGTTCCCTCTAAGCTGAGTTAGTGTGAGCTAGCTCACAGTTTTTTAGCCTCCGGCTCACACATTTTTTTGTCTTAGCTCAGGGAAGGGATGGCTCCAGAGCAAACTGATTGACGCAGTAGCCAAATCACCTGCTCACAACTTTAATACCAGCAGCTCACCAAGTAGAATTTTTGCTCACAAGACTCCACAGCTTAGAGGGAACATTGACTACTACTCTGAAACCAATACACTTGCCTACCATTGTACTGGCCACGGCATCCATTCATTATTTCATGAAACCAATTAATCGAGAGACGCGGACAATTTTTCCGTGGAAAGAAACCACTGGAAAACTTTCTACCCCACGTCTCGGTAAAGTGCTCTTTCCCCAGTGGGACTAGCGCGAGGCTGTGGCGTAGCCCTCCCCTCATGACGCTGTGCAAGCTCTCTGCTGCTTAGGCAGGCAACGTTTGCAGACCTCCCCATCTCTGAACAGCAGAGGCACCCCCCCCCCTTCTGCAGCTCAGCTATTCACTCCGGTGTGAGAACGAATAGCTGAAGTGCTATTCCACGAAGACTCACTCATTATTCCCATTCTACAGATGGCAGAAGGGGCGATGCAGAAAGGGCAGCCTGCTCCAACAAAAAACTGTATAAGAATTTACATTGTGATATAATGCTTGCAGCACTTTATTCCATTGAAGATAAGAATACAGACGACAAACCTGAAGAAGGATTCGTAAACGGACTTATACTAGAAATCCGTCGTTTGTCTGAGACTATACTGTAGTGTTTCATATGTACTGCCAAGCCTAAGATTGCATTTCATAATGTTATAGTTGTAACTTTGCTGACAATTGATTTCTAAAAGCATTATATATAAATATCTGCTTATATTGTATATTTATATACAGTGATTTATTGTTTTGCTAGTTACTGTACACCGTGATCTTGTTTGTTGTCACAACTTTAATGCCAGCAGCTCACCAAGTAGAATTTTTGCTCACAAGACTCCACCGCTTAGAGGGAACATTGCTGCCCAGCCTTCTTTGCTGTGGCCCCCCTGCCCTGTGAAACGGCCTGCCTGAGAAGCTCAGGAAGGCTCTCGCCCTTCTGGCTTTTTGCAAACTACCCAAAGCTGGAGGGCTCTTCTTCACGGGCAAGGGCGTGGCCCTGTTACAAAATGATCCACAAGGCTGCTTGGACAAATGATCACGGACCGTGGTCTGCACTGCTGTGTACCGTTTTTGCAATACTGTGCACAGTTCTGGTCACTGTATCTGGAAAAGGACATTGCAGGGCTGGGGAAAGTACAGAGGAGGGCGAACAAGAGGATGAGGGGGGTTGGAGCCCCTTCCCTAGGAGGAAAGGCTGAAGCGTCTGGGACTTTTCAGCTGAGAAAACAGACGACTGGGGGGGGGGCATGAAAGAGGTTTATAAAATTGTGTCTGGGGGGGAGAGAGTGGACAAACAGAACCGTTTCTCCCTCGCCCAAAAGACTAGAACTCGAGGGCATCCAATGAAGCTGATGGGCAGTAGGTTCAGGGCGGACAAAAGGAAATACTACTTTACACAGAGAGATTCAAATGTGGGATTCGCTGCCAGAGGACGTAGTGACGGCCACAGGAATAAACAGCTTTAAAAGGGGGATTAGACAGATTCATGGAGAAGGTGGCTGAGGGGAATCTCCATATTCAGAGGCAACCTCTGAATCCCAGAGCCAGGAGGCAACATCAGGGGAAGGCCTCGGCCTCTGTGCCCTCCAGAGGAACTGCTGGCCACTGCGTGAGACAGGATGCTGGACTATTGGTCTGATCCAGCAGGGCTCTTCTTAAGTGTACAGTTTGCTCACAGCGTTTGTAGTACATTTCAAACTAGTAACTAATAACTACTATTACAAATATATGGATACCTGAGATTTCAGTTAATAATGTAATTAGCTTCTGACCTTTTACTTTAATGTTTATAACGTTTTTGTCTGACTGTTTGGTTTCTGTATTGAAAAGGTTTCTTTTTAATTTTTATTTTTGTACATTTCCCATACATGCCTTAATCTTATTTTCCATAAACACATATATTTTTAGAGTCTGATATCCTTTTCTATCCAGTCGTACAATCCTATCCATCTTTCAACAAATTCCTCTTCATCTTTCCCCTGTAATAACATGTTAAGTTTATCCATTTCCGCTACTTCCAACATTTTATCAAATACTTCATCTAATCGGGGTGTATTATCTAATAATCGGGGTGTATTATCTAATGGTTTCTGTATTGAAAAGTTAATAAACATTTATTTTTTTAAAAAAAGTGCAGTTTCCTGAAATTAGGATCCTACTATCGTAATTTTGCTTCGTTTAACGTGTCATGCTGTTTGCCTTGCTTGAGTTGTTTTTATAGGGCTGATTGGTTCTACAACCCAAATCCTATTTCACTGTTTACTGAACGTCCCACCTCGCTGACAGTATTGACTCACTCTGTGTAATCTGCACTGAGTTCCAGTGAGAAAGGTTGACTATAAATGACGTAAATAAATAAGGGTGGGGAGAGTCCCCCAAAGTACTGGTGTGTCCCCAGAAGTCAAGAAACAAAGTCCACACCCTCATCAGCTCTGGAAGAGAGCACCAAGAGACTGGGGGAAATGTCTGCTATTTTAGCGCACCTGAGAATTCTGTAATCTTGCAAAAATTCACATCTATTATCAGATTAAGAGGGGTCCCTTCCAATGCCCTCTCTAAGCTGTGGAGTCTTGTGAGCAAAGTATCTGCTTTGTGAGCGACTGGCATTAAAGTTGTGAGCGAGCGATTTGGCTCCTGCACGAATTAGTTTTCTCTGGAGCCCTCCTTCCTGAGGTAAGACAAGAAGAAGAAGAAGAAGAAGAAGAAGAAGAAGAAGAAGAAGAAGAAGAAGAAGAAGAAGAAGAAGAAGAAGAAGAAGAAGAAGAAGAAGAAGAGGAGGAAGAGGAAGAGGAAGAGGAAGAGGAAGAGGAAGAAGAAGAGGAGGAGGAAGAGGAGG